CCCAGCTCTCAGCACAGCCTGGCGATGAAGGCCTGATGACCCCCTGGGACCCTGGGGGAAACGCACCAGGTGAGGACAGGTAGGGACCGGTGGCTTGGGGTTACTATAGGTGGGAGTGTTTGGGGAAGTTGGATTCCCCACCTCCTTCTCCAGCACACAGCCCCTTCCCTACTCCCCTCTTTGGGAAGTCCAGGTGGGCCAGGAGAGGGGGGCTTGTGGAGTTATTCTCCCAAACAAGAGAGAACCCAGCTTAGAACCCTGGGCTCAAGTCCCAGCCTTGCTCTGAGGCCTTGAGTCAGTCTCTGTTTTGAGACTTGACAAATGCCCACCTAGGGCTTTGCCGCTGCTCCATCCCCAGGGACCCTGTTATGTGGCTGTGTGTCCAGTGGTCCTTCCTCCACCTCGCAGGACAGTTGGCTTTGAACCCAGTTTGGCCTCTGCGTCCTTGAACAAGTAGGGAATCTCTCTGAGCCTTAGTTGCCTCCTCTGAGATTTTATCTGTAATGAATATTGAGGACGAAATATCACCTATTGTAGTATTTCTAATGGGAGCTCTGACGGTGTTGGCTGTAGCGAGAGGCACTGCTGACCTCAAAGGCCGCTCCTTCTACCAGCTGCCCCTTGGGAGAAAGATAGGTAATCTCTTCCACTGAGATGCAGAGCCTCCAAAAACCCACTGGAGCGTCGTCACCCAGGGCTCGGTTTCGACTGGGTGACACTGATTTTGAGTTTTAAAATCACCTATAATACAGGTGCTACCAAGCCAAAGGTGGGTGACTTTTAATCTGCAGCCCTTGGGCCTGTCTTTCATTGTTTTTGTCCAGATATTCCTGTAGGTCGTATAGCCCTGGTGTGTCCACTTGCCGTACAGCGGTAACTTGTGGTTGCTGTGAGGCTGGATACTGTGACACTGGTGTGTCAAATGCATTAATGGTTACCCATGGTGGACAGTGTTTGGTGAAGCTCCCCAATTAAAACAAGCTTGGAAGCAGGAGTGGCATCCGCTTCTGTAATAGCTTGCCTCCGGAAACCCTATGAACCTGGAGTAAGGATGAAAGTCGCGCAAGAGTCGAGGACTTTTGTTCATAGGATCACTGTGAATAGCCTGCAACTCGATGGCACTTAACAACAACAATAACGACATAATACAGGGAGGGAGCTCTGGTGGCTTTAATGGAAAGGAGTTTTGCTGCGAGTGTAAAGGCACACAGTTTGAATCCACCAGCTGCTCTGCAGGAGAAAAATGGGCAGCTTCCTACCAGGTGATTTACTGTCTCTGAAAACCCACTGAAGTACCAGCTGTGGGTTGGTTCCATCTCAACCGTATATAACAACATAACACAGGCACCTGTAGGACAAGGGCATCAAACTTTGAAATGTATGGGAATTCCTGAGGTTGGGATAAGGAAAGGCTTATTTAAAATGCACACCCAGATCTCATCGTTAGAGAGTCTAACCAGGCAGGGCCGGGAGAGTCCCTGTATTTGTGTGAGGAGTCCAGGAGCGTGGATGCAGGGTTCTGGAAACACTGAATAAGGACTAGACGTCGGGTGTTAACAGCTTGGCAGTCTGGGGCTTAATGAGTGTTTGCTGAATGAATAAATGGATTGGTGGCTGTATAAGTAATTTTATTTTTGTGGTCCTCGTGTTACTGGGGCATGCTGAGGTTGAGGTCTGAGGTATGTAGAGAGACATTCAGCCCTCTGATCCTTGTCTCTCCATCTTCCCAGGCTGCACCGAGAGAGCCAGCCGGTGGACAGGAGCTGCCCGGTCCAACTCCTTCACCATGGAGCAGATGGCTGGGCACGTCCCCTGTGAACACTTTGATGCCAACATGCTGGCCCAGCGTCTTTGTCAAAACTGCTTCTATCCTGAGGAGGCCCACCGAGCTGGACATCAGGTGGGCTAGCTTTCCTGAGGGTATTTGGGATGGGGAATTGGCAGTGTAACCTGGGCTGGCCAGAAATACAGCTTGAACCCGGATGCCAGCCTTGCTCCTGGTCAGAGACTCAGCTTCCCTGTCTGTGCAACCAGGTATTGTTGTTGGGTGCCACTGAGCCGACTATGATTCAAAGTGACCCTGTGAACAACAGATCTGAGCCTTGGCCTGCTCTGCACCATTCCCATGATCTCTGACATGCTTGAGCCCACACATCGTGTTGAGGGTTTTCCTCTCTTTCTCTGACCCTCCACCTTTCCCAGCATGATATCTTTTTTCCAGAGACTAAGAGACTTGGTATCTTTGAGCTATGATTCTGGAGAAGAGTGTTGAATATACCATGGACTGCTAGGAGAACAAAGAGGTTTGTCCTGGAGAAGGTGAAGCCGGAATGCTCTTTGAAGTCAAGGATTCTGAAGCTTCATCTGACATACTTTGGGCATGTTGCAAGGAGGAACTGGTCCTTGGAGAGGGACATCATATTTGGCAGACTGGAGGGACAGTACAGGAGAGGAAGACGTTCGATGAGATGGATCAATTCTGTGACTAGAGTGGTGGGAATGAGTGCATTTGAGACGGCATGGTTGGCACAGGATAGAACGGTGTTTAGAACTCTTGTACATAGGGTCGCTA